GGGCAGTGCACCCCCTGGCATCGCTCTGTCCCCAAACGGGTGCTGAGCTCTCAGCCAGGACCCGTCCCCCCCTTTGCTGTCCGTTCCGCTCTGCTGACCCTCTCACGCTCCCCCTGCTCCTCGACCAGGAAGAACAGGAGCCGCGAATGCTCGCAGGGGGCAATGTGGTTTAATTTATGACCCAGCTTTCATTACACAGTAACTCGGAAACCACGCTGCAAGTCGCCGTGTCCGCAGCGACGCTAGAGATACCGCAGGCCCGGACCCACTCTGACTTTCACGTTCTTAAAAGTCAAATTCAAAGTAAATCCTGAGTCTGGATTAAACTGGAGCACCAGCTCCAGAGCTGGGATGCTGAGAAGCGACGGATCCTGTGCAGGGGAGGCTCTGCCCCGTCGGGCTGTTGGGGCGTGGGGAGCTCTGCTGGGACCCCTGCACGTGTTTGCAGCAGATTGAGGACTAGTGCTGTAGGTAAATGCACACTGCTGAGAAAAGCTCCAGCCAGACAGTAAAAATATTTTCCAGCACAGTTCACGCACCGGCAGAGAGGGTGGGCAAGTTTCACGTGGAGAAAGGAAGAGAAAACTGGTGTTTTCCAAAAGACTTTCTATTCAGGTTGGCATTTACCCCCAAAAATATTTGTTTGGCATGTGCAAAATCGATGACTTTTTAAAGATGATTACAAACCTTGTCTTTGTGGTACAATCTGTGACTATGAACAGTTCCAAGCCACGTGCAGGGAGTAAGCGGAGCTCCTGCTGTCCCTGTTTCCAGCAGTGCTCACCCTTCACCCTCTGATGGTTTTGCAACTGAGATGTTTTGCTCAGTAAAAATTAAAATGCCGTTGCCACGAGTCGTGCTGGGGCTAAAATCTTCTGCCGCTAGTGGTTATCCTTCCAGTTTATGTGGTTGAGATCTGTGTGGTGGCTCTAGGGTCCTGGTCTTGCTAAGTTACAGGTTAAACCTCCTTGCCTGGGGAGGTTTGCTCAACAATTCCTTTTAAATGAGCGCTCCTCCAACAGAAGAAATTAGGAGCTGTAAAGTCAAGTGCTTGTGTTGGGAAATGCCTGCACCAGCTGGGTGGAGCGAGAGCACTTTGTGACACCTGGCTCGCGTGGGCATCCCTCTCATCCAGCCCCATGCAGCAGCTGGGGAAACAACTTCCATCAGCCCCTTGGCCCTTGCCCAGGGGTGTTTTAGTCTCCTTTCTCGTCTGGCATCAGGGCTGTGAGCTCCCCATGCAGGACACAGCCTCACCATGTCCTTATGTTTCATCCCAAACAGCCTGGCCAGGCAGAGGAACCTTGAGGATGAGGAAGAGCAGCAAAGGGAGCGAAGGCGAAGGAGCCGGAACCTGCTGTCCTCCACATCGGTGGATGAAGAACCTCCCAGCTCTGTGAAAGACACCAGTCCAGCTTCCAGCAGGTGTGCGGGGTCCTGCTAGCATCAGTCTTACTCAGGATGCTGATGGTTTGCAGCTTGCTGCCTTGTTTTTCTCAATCCTGAGCCAAAGTTGCTGCAGTTAGTGGCAGCCTCTTCCAGATGAGAGTGGGCTGAGCTGTGGGAAGAGCAGGGGTCCTACAGGCCTTTGGGCAGAAGGATGGGCTTCACAGGAGGAGTACAAGAAGAGGGGTATATCTCTGGTAGGCTCAGTCATGGGTCTCAACATGTCCCATGGCACAGGGAGCCAATGTGCCAGGGTGAGGGTTGATTCCGAGGTTGGGCTCAGGTGGGTGCTGGCCATGTCCTAGTGGGCTCTTGAGTAAGTAAGAGCAGATAGGCACTCATCTCTGCAAGGTAGGTGAGCTGAGCATGTGGAGCCTGGCTGGCTGTCCTCCTCCTCCGAACCTTGCAGTGATCTTGTATGACCTTTGCTGAAGCGGGGAGGTGACCCAAGGGCTTTCCAGTGGTGTTCCCCAAGTCCCTTGTTGGAAGGAGCTGGAGTTTAGACGTGCCCTGAGATCAAGGTGCTCTTATACAACCTGAACTACTCTCTAAACTGATCCTGGAAGTGTTCAATATTTAGATGATTTTGTACACAGTGAGACTCCTGCTCTAGAGATGTTTCTCTCCATGTTTCAGACAGAATGGAGCTAAGATGTTTGGACTGGGTAGAGGTTGAATGGGGGCTGGACACGACTGATATGAACAAGCTAGACAGAACAAGTCCTCCTTCCCTGGTGCTAGCACAGGCTGGCCATGTGGTGGTTGCAATTCAGGAGGAGGGTAAATACTATCCTATCTCCTTCCCAAGCCCTGGATGCTGTGTAGATACAGTCTGCATGGCCCTGGACAAGTGCCCCATCTGCCCCTTCCCAAATCTGGTGCCTACATTTGCTTGTGGGAAGGAGGGGAAATGACTGTTTCACAGAATATGTTGGGACTGTGGTTGGACCCTGCTGTAGCAGATTGACTTACGACCAACTCTTTAAACTTAAAGATAGTGATTTTTTTTCCTAATCCACCAAAGAGCCTCAGGCACAGGTCTTGTAGAGCAGCAGACCCAGCACGCTGCTCTGAGCCCACAGCTCCTTGGCACAGGGCTTGGTGGATGCTGATGTCCTGGGCTGAGGCTGCAGAAACACTAAATCTCTGCCACAAAAAAGGAAAAAAAACCACCTCGAATCCAAAGTTATCCTTGAAGAGCCTAGCTGGGATGACAGGGATGAGTGTGGCTGCAAGTGCTGGTCTGCAGGGATGACTTCAGCGACACTGGAGGAATTTGTATGCCGCCCAGAGCCTTTCTCCTGGGTTAACCTCATCTGCAGGATGAAAGCCAGCCCTCTGGCCCTGGGTGCTGAGGTTGCCCCCATTTTGTCTCTGTCTCTAGACCTCAATCCCTAGTGAAGCCAGTGTCTCCGGAGGACAACGAAGAGCACAAGCTCTCAGAGGTGCTGAAGACACAAGAAGGGAGACGGACAAGGTCCCTGATGTCTGTCTCTGAAAAACTGAGGCAGGAGAAGGAGCAGCAGGGGGGGGGGGAGCCACATGGAGGCAGGGACGCAGCCACGCGTGGGGCAGAAGAGCATCGAGGCTGGACAGCGGGGTCAGGATGTGGCCAAGGGCAGAGGGGACCCACCAGGAAACCAGCAGCTGGAGCTGGCCTCGGAGAGGAAGGTGGTGGTGAGGGGACGGCTCCAGGACAAAGAAGGACGAAGTGTGGGGACGTCTCGAGGGGAGCCGAGGAAGGAGGTGGGGGAGCCACAGCAGCGGGCACCGCCAGAGCTGGGGGGCTGCCGGCTCCGCGAAGTGAAAATCCTGACCAGACAGGGCAGCAGCAGCGTGGAGGAGAAGACAGCCTCGGTAGTGACCTCATCTTCGGAACAGCAGGTGAGAGGAATGGACAAGACACCAGCCCTTGGGGTGCAAGGTCCTGGATGCTGGGAGGACAATGGAAAGAGGGAGAGCCCAAAAGTACCAGGAGGGAAATGGGACCTGTGGGCTTTTGGGGAAGGTTTTTCTGAGAACTGCAAACCACGAGGTGGTGGACAGGGTCCCACTGCCTGTTTTCCCTCCCTTGCATGGACTATTCTGGTCACCTTCTCTGACAGACTCCTACTGATTGCCATCATGGCTTCACTGAAGAGGTGTTTGGGGCTTTGTGTACCCAAGTGAGACAGCCAAGGTTTGGAGGATATCAATCTTGAACTCCTGCCTCCAAACCAGTTCCCACCCTGGCTGTTCTGCTCCTTGCACCTCAGCCCTCCCTGTGAACTCTGCAGAGGTGCATCAGATGTCTGCTTTTTCCTCAGCCACCATCCAGGAATCCCTCAAAGGAGGTAATACAGCTGACTCTTACCCAAGATGAACCTGTAGAAAAGTCAGATACTTCTCCAACTCATGTCATCTACAGCAGCTCCATCAGACGAACCAGCCCAAGAACTGTCTCCTTTCGGGTAAGAGCTAAAGCAAGTGGGAGAAAGACCCCCATTTAGGCAGTGGAGAATGGGGGGAAGGAAGAGTTGCTTTGGTCTCTGCCAAGGTTATGTTGGCAGAGCCTGTTCCCAAAAGCGCATTCAAAATCCAGCCTTGATCTGGGCATTGCAGTTCTGCTTCAGTCTTTCCTCCATTTTCCTTCTTTGTGTCTGACTGAAGGCCTGTGTTGATGAACATGCCCATGTTCATATGCTTTGTGCTGGCATGGAAACTTGTGGGAAGTGATGAGAAAACAGGGAGCTCATTGTCCTCAGGTTTTCCAAAGAGTCACAGGAATGACCATCTGCCCTCTGGCATTTCTGGCCTTCTCTGAGAGCACAGGATAAAGATAAAATCTATCCTTCTTCTTGTCCCTTGGTGCGTCCCTGAAAATATCTTTGATTCTAGCCCCCTAAAAAAGATCTCTGGGACAAAGTGCTTGGAGAGGCTGGGAAAACCAAGAGCTGCTGAGATCCTCCCTGCTGTGAATCAGGGCTGACTGGCTAGGCTTAATTGACTTTGATGTTGCTTTATTAGGAATAAAACTGTTAGCACTACAAAGTGTCTTTGGAGAGCTTTGAGATATGAGATAGGCTCTGGTGTGGGTGAAAATGGAACTTTTCATTGCCCCTCTCAATGGGGGAGACAAGCCTGAGGCAGTTTATCTCATGTTTATCTCTGATAACCAAAGATGGCTCCAGTATCTCCTCTCCTGTGTCTTCCAGGTGATCTCAAGAAAACAGAAAGAAGAAAGCCAAAGCCCTCTCACAAGGAGGTCAGCAGCTCTTTTCATGTTACTTTGATCTTGCTGGGCAGGAATTGTTGTCATCCTTTGTTTTCCAAGGGAGGAGGAGGAGGTGATGGGACCTGGTACCAGCTATTGAGTGCTCTGGCACAGATCTGCTCAACATTGGTCCCCAGGGTGCCTAGTTGACTGGGTAGCGATGCTTAGCAGAGGACAAGACAATGTCCAACATGCCACCTTTATCTGCACAAGATCCTCCCAGCTAGCTCCTGCTGTCTCTTGGTTGATGTAGTTTCTCATCCGTGCTTGTGTCTGCACAGGAGTGGTTAAGTGTCAAGCGGTGCAGCACCACAATAGGGTCCCAACCTTGGAGGTATCAAACCTCACTATACAGGTCCATGAACAGCCTGTTCTGGCTTTGGTGGCCAGATCGAGTGATCCTCCACATCTCCATGGTAAGGTTTGGACAGGTGGCTTAAAAACTCTTGAGGAACCAAGGGCTCACGTCTGAACGAAGGGAGTTGACAGGATGCCCTCTCCCACCTCTGAATGCAGGGCAGAGGAGTGGAGCTTTACTGGCACCTGGGCTTGCACCTGTGCATACTGTAGGCAAACTCATACTGATATCGGTGAAGATGCAGTTCAGACCTGGCAGTGGTGAAGACAGGGTAAACTGAGGAGCTCAGAGCTATTTTTTGATGTACAGTGTGGCCCCAGTAAGATGGTGAGACCCAGAGATCTTGATCACCAGAAGGGAAGGAGCTGCCTCCATTCACTTGGCAGAGACGTGCGGGAGGAGTGCCTGGATCAGACAGGGTTCTCTCCTGCCAAGTGGAGGCCCCCAGGACCATGGGCTGAGTCCCAGGAGATCCTGAGGGGGCTGTGTTCAACTGTCTTCCCTCTTCTTCACCAGTGCGAGTATGAGGATCCCAGGTAGCAGCACCACCATTGAGGAGAAGCTGGAAAAGTACACGTCGGCCGTGCAGGTGCCGAAAACTCTTAGCATAGCCGAGCTGACGTGGGAGGGATGTGTGGGGAGATGGGTGGCCTGGAGCTGAACGGGGAAGGGACAGAGGGACTGAGCTGCCCCAAACAACCAGCACTAATGGGGATGAAGAAGATGGTCCTAGGCAGAAAAAGGGATCAACCTCAGGGTTTTAGGAACAGGGAGGGGATATCAATTGGAGAGGGTCATGGGGACACTGCACCATCCTGCTGGGGGAGCAGCGGGAAAAGCCCATGAGCTGGTGATGGGCAGGGAGGGAGCAGACCCCAACGGGCTCGGGACGCGAGCCAGAAGCAGGACATTGCTTTTTACTCCCTGGTGTGCAACACAGCCCCTGCTGACTCCCCTCTCTCCTCCCAGCGCTCTGAGGTGGCAAAATCATCCCTGACTATTCAGAAGAACCTCATGCCATCCTCGGAGGGGGTGGCCAGCAAGCGCAACTTCTTCGAGGCAAGCGCTCCCAGCAAGGCTGAGCCACTCACTGTCAGGAAGGTAAGGGCAGGATCTGGCCCAAGGGGGGACCTTCCAGTGGGGTCCTGTGTGGGGTCAGGCACCAGCTTCTTGGACAGATCTTCCCCTTTTTGGATACCAAAGCACAGCCTGCAAGGCTGCTGCCTGGATGCAGTTTGGTGGGAGCTTGGTGCTTGTTTGAGCGGTGCTGGGCAGGGCTGGGCTCGGGCACCAGCTGCCACCGAAACTGTGCTCTGGGGGCGTGTGGGTTTGTGCTGATGAGCTGGTATTTGCAGAGCTGGGACGGGGCCAAGCTGTAGGCTGGTCTCTGCCTGTTGTGGGTTTGCTCAGTCTCCCCGTGCCCTGGGGACTGTCCTGGGTTACGTTCATGCAGTGGGAGAGCTGGTGCTGTAACCCTGGTGTCCTTCTCTGTGCCACAGGACAACCTGAAGATCCCAGGATCAGTGACATCCCGCATTAATCTGTGGATCAGCCGAGCTCAGGAGCCTGCCAAGGAGGAAAAGAGCAAGGTACCAGCTTGTGCTGACATCTTGGGCTAGAGCCCTGAGACCAGGCAGCCTGGTAGGACACATGCCTGCATTTGGGGTGATGAGGCTTGAAGGGTTAATGAACCCTTGACTGAACCCATCAAAGGGTTTGAGAGGAGCTTAGCAAGGGTCGGAGGTTTGGGTGCTGCAGGGCCACCATGGTGAGATGTCAGGGCTCTACTTGTTGCTGTGCCCTGATCCTGATCCCAAAGCACCTGAGGCAGCTGCTCCCAGCCCTTGGTGGGCTGAAGAGGGAGCAGACACCAGCTGGGTACATGTCCCAGAGGACATGCAGAGGGACCTGACCCTGCCACCATGAGAGAGATCACCCAAGCATTATCCCATCTCTACCAGTGTCTGGAGGACCAGCTGTGACCTGGAGGCCACTGGGAGAAGAGCCGCATGCTCAGTCCTTCGGCACTGGGCTCTGCAGGGCTTGGAGACCTGTTTGTGCACCGAGAGGTCTCGCCACGCGTGGGGCCTGGAGTGATCGGCATCCCTGTGTGTATCCCAGCCCCCAAAAGTGGGGTGTCTTGTAGCCGTGGAGGCAAAGTGCCCAGTTACGGGGACTCAGAGGTCATCACTTTGCTACCATGGCTGCTCCGGGGACATGGGTGTGAGGGAAATGGACCTCTTGTTCTCAGGATAGTTCACTGTACTTGGAAAGGAGAAGGAATCATCACCCACAGCAATAAGGTGTCCTGGCGCTGCTCGGAGCACAGTCTCCTGCCGCCGCCCGGGTACAGGACCAGGAGGGGCAGCTCCAGCCCAGCCCTGCAGCCCGGGCAGACAAGCCTGGGCACCCCAGCGCAGAGCTGCAGAGATCAGCGCTGCCCAGACCTGTCTGTGGCAGGAGGTTGCGCTGGCTCTGCGTCTGCCAGGAAAGGGTTTGCTCCTGGGGTCACTCCTGGGTAAAGCTTGCAGCTCCTTTATCACTTTTTCCTATAGTAACTCCTGCTGCCCTCCATCTCTGGCGGCTGGAGCTGCACTTGGTTTTGAGGGTCTGCCAGGTGTGGGATCCCAAAGCCTGGGATGTAGGATGTTTTACCTGGAGCATGTAGGCTTCAAGGTTTGGTTAAAGTCAGACCGAGGCAAGACTGCACATGAGGCGTGGGGAAAACCTTCTTGTGCCACTTACGACTCTCCTGTTTGCAGGACGTTAGGAAAATAAACAGCCTGCCAAACCGTGACGTCTGGGTAAAACAGCCTGGAAACACCCCTGGAGACACCAAGGTAGACATGGAGCTGCTCTGAGAACTGGTGCATCCTCGGAGCTAGGGGCAGATGCCCCCTAGTGCATCACCCACAGGGCAGGTGTAAGAGAACCAGACTCTGCAGGGAGAGGGCTCCTGTGGGACATCCAGGACCCCACGACTTGGGGGAGTCAGCAGGAGGGGACAACTGGAGGCAGTCGTAAGGCTGAGAAGGGGTCTGGTTTGTGAAAAGGGGAGTGGCAGGCAGTGGGATTTAGGGGATGCCTTCCTGCCCCATCCCCTATTCAGGATGAGTATGGTGCTGGTTGAAGTCGCTGCCTTTGGGGGGGGTTTGCAGCCTCAGGCCCAGCCTCACTGTTTCTCACTTTCTTTTCCAGTTGTAATAGTAGCAAATGATCTGGAAAAAAACTGTTTTGCTCTGAAGATCAAAGTCCAGCCCTACCCAACTGCCCAGCAGTCCACTGCCATGAGAGTCCCCCGCGCCATGTGTAGGTGCACCCCAGGTTGCCGGCGTCCTCTGCTTGTGGGATGGGAAGGAAGAAGGCTGGAAGATCATCCCTGTATCCCAGGTCCTCACTCGCTGCCTGTCCGGGAGTGCCCAGGCCTGGAGGCTCCTTGCAAACGCTGAAGGCAGACTCTTGCCTCGGTTCCCCACAACATTTTGGTGTTTTGCTCCTAATCTCTGCCTGTGCCCCATAACTGCACTTGCAAAGGGGATCAACCCATATGTCTGCCTTGCAGCTGGATGATGTCAGTGGGACAAGAAGCTACCTGGCCGAGGGAGTTTTGGCTGCACATCCATGTACCGTGTCCATCTCTGCTGCCTGGCTCATGTGGGGTGAGGTGGGACAGGCAGATGTCACCCCCTGCCCCAGGCTGTCACTGCTGGAGAGACCCAACCAAAGGCAAATGGTGTTCGCAAAGCTGCATGTGTGCTGGTGTAGCTTGGAGATGCCTCATGGAAGAAAGATGGACCTGATGACCGTGGTGCTTCCCTCTGGCACGCAGCTGAGCCAGAGCCAGAGACTTGGCCTTCTCCACCCTGCCCTTACCATCTCCTGCCCCCTACAAGCAGTGACCCCTTTCACTTAGTGATACGGGAAGGGTGATGGGGGTAATAGATACCCCCTATTTTTGGGGTTGCACGGAGCTGAGCGCCCTGTGCTGGGCCCCTTCTGCAAACGCCATGTCCCTCTCGCCCTTCCTCCTGAGCCCTTTGCCTGCGGCTGTGCAGGCTCCTGGTCCTGCACTCCCCGGGCTGCTGAGCCCACCCAGCAGGGATGCGGGGTGCTCTCTCGAGGCTGGCTTTAGGGTGCCATGGGCAGCCCATAAAACGACGCCCAAATCCTTGTGCTGGGGCCATTCAATGGGCTAAGGCTGTGCCTTGAGCAACCACTGTGGTGTCCAAATTCAGTGTGGGACTCTGCTGCTGCCCCTGGATCTGATCTTGCTTGTTGGGCTTTGGAAAGGACTTGGTTTTCTCTGTGCCTTTTTTTGTTTTTTTTCCTAATAAAAGTTGCTCTTTCTAAGACGTTCCTGGTCACCTGCTCCTGGGCTGGGACTGGGAACGGTTCGCTTCCCTTCTTCTGGCAAGAGGAAAAATGGCAAAAACTCGAGACAAATGTGTGCTGGTGGGGGTAAAAGCAGCCTGAGACTCTTCCCTTCTCATTACAACATCTTGGGCTCGGTGCAGCGGCTGAGTCAGCCCGGGTCGGGGGCTGCGATGGAGGGTCTGGTCCTCTGCTCATGGCAGCGTCGCCTTATCAATGTCCCCGGCCCTAGAAAGTGACAGCTGGCTGGCTTGTGTCAGCCCCTCGGGCACTCGCGTATCTCAGTCCGGAGGGTTTAAAATAGCAAATCTCTGAGGCCACACAATAGCTTGGGCTTATATG